GCTCCTTAGCACCCTATGCGGCCTGATTCCCCTCGAACCAGTCAGCCTTTCACCGTCCGTCGATCGTTCGCTCGCCCATACAAGTATCAATCGAGGTTATGCAAGCACGTCACAAACATACGCATGCGGAAGCTATCAAGTAAATAAGTTACACGCAATATTACGGGCTCACGCCCAACCAAGTACTATTATATCACAAAGTACAAAGGAATGGTCCTACAGCTTGCATACACGGTTCACACCAACACCTTAGTGCACGCAGGCACACACATACATGAATAAAAGTACCAGCCTTACAGAATTTGGCCTACACAAGCTTGCTATTACACTTAGCGTATGCGAACTCAAGCATCTACAAGTATACAGTACACAGACTTCGCTCACGCACTCGTTCACTTATCTGTTTGCCTTGCACCCTCGTGTTTTTCTCGTGTTTTTCTGCCCCCGCGCATGTGTTTGCCTCAGCCTATTTATAGGCCTCAGACCCAGCAGTTCCAACCGCTTGGTAACCGCCCCGCAGTTATCCGCAACCGCCCCTTGGCACGTGCACGCATCCATCGGACGCCAACTCAGCTTCATGCAACAACGGGCGCCAACCGTCGTGCTTTATCCTTGCCCAACTCCCACGCAGGTTAGAAAACCGTCAAGGCCACGTATCCCTGGAAACCGCCCAGCCACGCGTCTTGCTTTCCTTGTTCCCACTCGGCCATGCAACTGCTTGAAGGAATGATCCGCTTAGGCCACGTGGGACATAGTAACCGACTAGTCCACGTGCAACCCAACTGCCAATTCAAAAATCCAACTGTTCCCGCCAACGGCTTAGATGTAACACCCCGCTCATCAGAGTCAATTTTTCGCATCTTCTTATTTTGAAAGTACTTATAAATTTTTCAAAATCTTCTTCACTTAATTCGGAATGCTACTAAACTTATCTTCTTTAAAATCTGTCTTCTCAAACCTTGGTCTAACAACTAGCTAGATATAATAAAACAGATTTTACTTATCAATCATATAT